AGCAAGTATTCAGAGATTTTATTACCACCAGGCCTGCTTTACAAGAGCTTCTGAAAGAAGCATTACACACAGAAAGAAACAACCAGTATTAGCCTTTCTAAAAATATACCAAAAAGTAAAGAGCATCAGTATAAAGAAGAATTTACATCCATGAATGGATAAAACAGCCAGTTAACATCAAATGGCAATAATCCTAAATTTAAATCAACTAAATCCCCCAATACTAAATCCCCAATCAAAAGATGCAGCCAAAACCCAACTGTATGCTACATCCAGACCCATTTCACATGCAAGGATACACAAAGACTCAAAACAATGGGATGGAGAAAGATTTACCAACCAAACGGAGAGCAAAAATAAATAAATAAATTAATTAATTAAAAGCAGGAGTTGCAATTCTCACATCTGATAAAATAGATTTTAAAGCAACAAAGATATAGTGGTAAGAGGATCAATGCAACAATAAGAGCTAACGATCCTAACACCCAGATACATAGAGACTTGGACTCCATGAAACAGAAAATTAATAAGGATATCCAGGACTCTAACTCAGATCCGGAACAAGTAAACTTAACAAATATTTATAGAGCTCTCCACTTTAAATACACAATATATATATTCTTGTCAATACCACATCACACCTACTCATAGGTTTAAATGAAATATTGATTGGCCATTATTAATACCCATTTTTTAGAATAAAGCAACATTTCCATTTTCTCTCCCTCTTTTTCTTCCTTTTTCTTCCTCTCCTTCACTCCTTTTTTTCTTTCCTTCCCTTAAAAAAAAAGAAAAAAAAAGAAAACTAAATCATGAAGAAATAGAAAACCAAAACACATATATAACAAATCAGAAAATTGAATCAATAATCAAAAAAAACATTTGCAACCAAGAAATATCGAGGCTTCACTGCTGAGTTCTACCAATTTTTTTTTTTAGCATTGTCAATCCTTCCGAAACTCTTCCAAAAATGCAAAGAGGAAGAAACTCTCCAAACTCAGTTTTTCAGATTAGTATTATCCTATTACCAAAGCCAAACAAAGACGGTATAGGAAAAGAAAACTATACCGTCTTTTATATCTCTGGTAATAACAGATGCAAAAATCTTCAATGAAGTAGTAGAAAATATAATTCACTAGTACATTAAAAAGATTATACATTATGATCAAATGGTATTTAGTCCTGGTATGTAAGGATAGTTCAACTTAGAAAAATCAATTAAGGTGATACATCACATTAACAAATTGAAATATAAAAGCACATAATTATCTTAGTAGATACACAAAAAGTATTAGAAAAAATTTAACACCTTTTCATGATAAAATCTCTCAATAAGATAGAAACACAGGAATGTACTTAAAAATAATAAAGACCATATATGACAAGCTTATAGTTGATAGCATAGTCAAAGATAATGGTGAGAAATTTAAAGACTTTTCTGTAAGATGAGGAAAAGCCTAAGATGCTTACTTTTGACACTTCTATACTACATATATAAAAGGCATACTAGTCAGAAAGAAAAGAGTAAAATGATCTCTGTTGGCAGATGATGAGATCACTGATTTATATGTAATTTTTTCTGTCACATTTTTAATTATTTATTGTATATTATTTAATTGTGTCCAAAATTAATGTATAGATAAACCAGAAATTAATCATATATGATAGTAATATTGAAGTACATGTTAATGTAAGAAACCAGTATTTAACTATTAAATATTTGTCTTAACATTTGAAGGTACATAACCTCCATTTTCCTAATCATTCTATTTATGTAGTGCATTAAATGTTTCAACAACTTTGAAAATAATTGATTAAGAATATATAGTAACTATCATATTCAATAAGACTTTTTATTTATTACAAATAATAATTTCTGTATTATAAAGTTTCATTTCTTAAGAAAACCTTGCAAATAGAAGTCATACATTTGTTTTTTGACTGCAACATTTACAAATAAAATGGAAATTCTGTGAACAATCAGGTTGATAGATTTATAAAGTAAAAAATAAAAAACAAAATCCAAAATTTAGTTCATAGAAGGAGTTTGCTCAATTTTCAGGGCTGCAGTATAGTGTACATTTCTATGCAAACTTTAAAATATTTCTAGTTTCCAGGAGAATTATAATGTATTATGATGCCTTAATGTATTCTTAAAACCTATATAAATTATACACAGCAAATATTTTTCCAAAAAAGAAGTTAAAAAAAAGTATCTCTATTAAAAATCAAACCCTCCCCATATGACATTCCCATTTTCTCATCATAAATGATGAAGTAATCACTCTTTTCTTTACACTGGTTTTAAGTGTATCATTATGAATATACTTTATCTCAGAATTTTACATATTTGTAGAATTTTGACTTTGTTCTTTAAATCTATGCATTTTTGGCCAGGCACAGTGGCTCACGTCTGTAATTTTAGCTCTTTGGGAGGCTGTAGTGGGCAAATCACCTGAGGTCAGGATTTGAGATCAGCCTGAACAACGTGATGAAATCCTCTTTCCTAAAAATACAATATTAGCTGGGCATGGTGGTTCATGCCCGAAATCTCAGCTACTTGGGAGGCTGAGGCAGGAGGATCACTTGAACCCAGGAGGTGGAGGTTGCAGTGAGCTGAGATCGCACCACTGCACTCCAGCCTGGACAAAAAGAGCGAAACTCTGTCTTAAAAAAAGAAATCACAGAAAGCCAAACACTGTATGTTTTCACTCACAGGTGGGTATTGAACAACAAGAACATGTGGACTCAGAGAGGAGCATCACACACTGAGGGCAGTTGGGGGGGTAAGAGAGAGATGGAGGGTGGGGATGGAGGGGAGTGGGGAGGGATAACATGGGGAGAAATGCCAGATATAGTATGCACCTGAAGTAAAATAAATAATTTTTTAAAAAAATCTATGCATTGTTATTTTATAGTTTAATATCTAGTGGGCATAATCTCATCTGCCTGCCTGTTGCCACTCTGTTTTAGAACTTTTTTAGCAGATCATAGTTACTTACTCCTTCTTTTTTTTTAAATGGAATTTATTTTTTAAGATGGTTTTAGGTTTACAGAAAAATTGAACAGAAGGTAGAGAGATTTTTCTATATTTTCCTTACCTCCACACATACATAACCTTCCCCAATATCAACACCCACTTCCAGAGTGGCACATTTGCTACAGTTGATGAGCCTACATTGACACATAATTATTCATCTGTTGCATCTTCGTCATGCCAAATGCTATTTTCATTTTTCAAAATTTTTCATTATACTTATGGATCAACATAAAGAAAAGTGGTTTTTTGTTATCTTAAATCTTGCCTACAGAATATGATATTTGTTATATTATTTACACCATATTTAGGTATTTTGGTAATATTTAAAAATTTTTTTCGTATATGTCAAGCTTATTTTATGTTATGTTTCTATTTAGAAATTTGTTCAGTGTTGAACTTTGTAAATGTGCTTTAAAAATATATTTTCTCTCTGTGGATTTTACATGAGAAGTCTAAAAATTTCTGTAGGCTGACCTAGAACTTTTGAATGTTATTACAAATATAATTGCCCCCCTAATTTTCTTTTTGTAAAAGATTACTTGACTATAATTTTATGAATCTATTTCTGGGTTCTCTATTCTGTTCCATTGATCTATGTTTCTCTTCTTTTGCCAAGTCACAATGTCTTAATTACTACTGTCTTCGAGTAAAGCTCAAATGGTAGTGTGAATTCTTGAGTATTTTTCTTCTTCTTTGGTATCCTGTTGGATAATCTAGGTATTATTTTACTTTCCATATATACTTTGGAATTAGGTTATTGATATTCTAATACACCTATCCAGGATTTTGATTTGGATTGTATTGAATCTATTGATAAATGTGTGTGGAACAAATACCCTAACAATATTGAGGTTCCCAATCCATGCACATGGAATATTTTTCTCTGATGTTTTCCATCATTGTTTTATTGTTTCCTGCATGCAGTTTCTTTATTCATATATTCTTACATTATTTCTACCTACAGAGGCCAATTTTATTTTATTAATATGCTTGTTTGTAACAATATTTATTTCGGTATTATTGCTACAGGTATAGATTCAATAGTCAGCACCAGGCTTTTTGGCAAAACCACCTGAGTAATTTTCTGCTTGATTGAACATCAGTTTTTCACGCTTTTTAAAAGAAGGACTTATGGGAACTAGTTGTTACAAGTGATAATAAAGTTTCTGCTATGATTTTCTTGAATAATAGTTCGTTTACTGCAAAATTTCTTGGAAAAACATCTCATTGTGTCAGTATTTCTTGTCATTGAATATTTTAATGTAGAAGTGTGATATAAACCTCACTTTTTGATATATATTGATTATAATAATTTACCTCTCTCCATCAAGAATTACTCATTTATATTAGATTTTTATTACCTTTGACAAAATATAACTCCATGTTGATTAACTATAACAAAATCATCTTTACCTCTTTAGAAAAGATATGTCGATTTAACGTGCATGCATAGATATTAATTTTTATTTTCTGGATTTTTTTCTTGTAAATTTCTATTTTTTTCATCTATTGTTTTAATTTTCTCCCCTCAGAGATACCACCCAAGTACAAGAAGTTGGATCTCCTTTCCTGTCTTCTACGTCAATTATTTCACTAAGAATTTATCTAACCTTTCATTACTTTTCATTTCCTTTCTCTAACTACTCTTCATCATACTATTTTATGATTCTCATTTTATTAACAGTGTTACATTAACAGTACATTAAAAGTGTACAGCTTTCTTATTTACCTAAATTCCATAATCACTTTTTACCTTTTTTTCACTTCAGAGATCTACCAGTTTACTTTTGATCTTTTTTCTTGTAGGAAAGATCAAGTGACACAAATAGCCACCCAATCTCGTTACCAGTACTTTCTTTCCCCCTTTAAGTACTTTCCTCCCATACTATCCCCCATCATTGGACATGTCATATATTCACTCAACTGATTTATTGCTTATCTCATTTCATTAAAATATTACCTCCACAGGAGACAGATGTAATGTCCTTTGTTTATTGCCATGTTCCTTTAGCCTAGAACAATGCAGGAAACAGAAAGAATGCTCAACAATTAGTTTGCATTGAATAGATAAACAAATACAATGGATACTGAGTGGTTATTACATTTACAGTGCACAATTTAGGGAATAATTATTTCAAAGACTGTGGGGGAAAGATGATCCTTTCAAATGCTCTGCTTAAATAAAGAACATGTAAGCTGTACACTTATAAGTTTTTTGTATTAAGTTCCAGATAAATTCTATGATTATACTAAAATACTGTCCTAACTTTTTCAGCCACACAGCTAACAAAAAATTGACATTTCATTCTGTTGTCAAATCTTACTAGCACTTAAATTCGTTATCTTTGTACACTTCTTGTTTAAACATTGGGAATTAATTGAGAAAACGAGTGAATGGGGTTTGAAGGTTTATATGTATTTGTTCATTCAGTGAGCATTAATTGAGTGTTTATTATGTACTATACTCTATTCTAGATGCTGAAGAAGACATAGCTCCTATTTCCTGAAATGTATCTTGTAATGAAGAGTTTCCCTCACTAGCAGAATTATTCCTTCTTCTTCTTTTTGAAGATTCTTTACCAACTTTTCTAACAAAATAACCTCATGTCACACGTTCACTGTCTGTTATTTCTCTAAACTAAACCGGATTAGAGAGCATTCTTTGTGGATCAACTACAATGTTAAACCTGGGAACTGAAAAGGTGCACATAGAAGTAAAAAATTGAGGTAAAATTTATAATTTAGGAAAAAATGAAGAGAAATGTATCTGTGAATGGCTTCTGAAAACTGTACAAAATTAGGGGTGGACATGATTGTCATTTGGGTTGAATTTGAGTAAGAGTGCATTTGCCTGATACTCTGCATTCGATGTGCTGGGTTAAGCAGATGGAAATGTTTATCATCACCCTTCTTGGTTAGCTGACACATTTGGGATCAGTAGTGGGTCATGAAAACTAAATTTAATATGCCAGAAATTCCCAATCAAATATGTTTTAAAAATTCAAAAATATAGAGAAATAAAAATTTTGCATAGAATTATCAGGTTTAAGACACTCACTTATTATGAATTACGTCCTCTGAGGAACCTAGAGATCAATTTATTCATCAAATCATTAAGAAATCTACCAGAGAGGATCCTTGTAGTCTTCAAAAATTGTTTATTGATTAACTATTCTCTGTAGGGAGATACTTCAGTTAAGTAATCTTTCTGATTTCAACTGAAATCCAGGATCCCCAGGATACCAAAAGCTGAGAAAATATTTCATAAAACTTTGCAGGCATATAAACTTGCTTCTCAAGTGCCTCAGATGGAACTGCCGCCATCTTTTTAGAGTGACTATGTCCTAGACAACTAGAATACTCACACATTAACATGACAGAAAATATTAGAAACTGGCTCTGAGGAAATCATGAAATCCTAGTAAACTAACCACCTCCGTGGTTCACTGCTCAGAGTAGAACTACTTTGTCAGGTGATACATATTATTACCTGGGAGTCTTTTAATCTCACCTAAAATTATTTTCTTGGTTTTAAATATATATTTATAACAACATCTGACAGAATTCTCATATTAGTTTTAATCATTGTATAATCATTAGAGCATAAGAGGTCAAACTGAAGCATCTTTCTTACAAAATAATAAATCAAAGTCAATACCTCATATGGAGAATCATAGAGATTAGTGTTACCATCAAAGACATAAAATATAACTCTCTGTTTTTAACTCTGAATAAGTAGGTTGGCTCTGAGAGAAATATTATATCCTGTAATACATACCCTATCATAAGATAAATTTGGAATTGCTGACTCCAAATTTAATGATTTTTTTTTCCTGATATGTCTTCTCTGCTAGAGTAACCAACCCAGCACTATTGATAAACAACTATTAAGCTGTCAAACGTGGGGTACTTTCCCCCTTACTCCATGACTACAGAACACTGGAAGAAGGTCGAGAGAACGTTATGTGTATTTCATCACATTGAGGTTTAGCCAACCCTTTGGCTCCATGACATAAACTAGAATAAAAGGGCTTTAACTGTCTAGCGTTCCACAGGCTATTATGGCACACATTTTAAAAATATGTCTTCCTGCTTCTAGGACTAAAAGTATCTATTGGAGGAAGAAGGTAGGAGATTAATTTCATAAAAATTAGATATATGTTATTTCAGTAAAATTTCTGTTGGTCTAGTGTAGATAACTATAATTAGCTTTTGCTAACCAAACTTTCCTTGTAATAATAATAATGACGGTGATGATGGTAGGCAGTCAGCATTCATCTGCATCTTTAAAACACACCAGACACTGTCCCAAGAGCATTTCAATAACTAATTTAATCCTACATTTAAGATATGTACTTCATTAAGAAATATTTTGTTAGTATGTATAAATATTAAAGATGGTTTTATAACCTCCCCAAATGTGCCTTTTTCTGCTATGAGACAGAACAAGCCCTTTTATCGAAGTGAAATAAAGACTAGAGAGGATTAAAGATAGAGTTAGCAGAAGCTGAAAGCTAACTGTTCATTGTTGTCCACTTTACCCAAAGACAACCACATTGAAATTTTCAGTCAAAGATGGTTTCCTCACTCTCACTCTTTTTACTTTATTTTCTGTTAGCTTTTCAATTCTACAGCTTTTATACTGGTCAGAACTTCTTTGAGTGATGACTGAATAGAATGCCGGCTTCTTATCAACAAACACTTACAACTTCCAGCAGATGTTGCAAAAAGAGCCACTGATTTGTGCTACAATCAGCAGGGCAATTGTTTCATTTGGATTCTCTATGAAATCCAATGTATCCATTTTAGTTTGATTGACAGACATGAATTTCTCTTCTGGTGAATTTTTCTGTACCATTCGAAATGCAAGCATGATGGACAATGCTTTCACAAAAGACAAGAAATCATTTTTATCTTTCTCTCTCTAAAAATTGAAAGGAGCAATGTCTTGTGAATATTTATGTAAAATTCAAGGGGTTTGCATTCTTACCTAAATTTGGATCCATAGGAAAAATATATAGTCTATGCATATAAATCCATTTCAGTCACTTTATTTTACAAAGCCTGGCTCTTATAACCATCCTACTTAGTGATATCCAGTGAAAAAACGGTAGTGATTTCTTTGAAAATGTCAAAGATGCTAAATATCAGAAATGCTTTATGCAAATAAATGTGAAACTGCCTATATAAAGCAATACAAAGACCCTCAACATTTGAAATTTATTAACAATTTATTCTGGTTTTATTTTCTCTTGTTAAATATTATATAAACAACTTTATTTGACCCATGCTCTGCTAGGAAGCAGTAAACCCTTCTTCCTGAAAGTATATATATCGTAGAGTAAAATACTACAAAAATTGTAGAAATTAACTCAGAACATCCACACTTAAACAAGTAGTACTTTGAAAGTAGTCATTAGGCTATGGAAACTCTTCAGTAAAAATCATTTTTATGAATATAGTCAGTTTGAGCACATTTCCTTTTAGACATTCCTAGAGGAGTTTTTTACAGTATTCTCTGATGACTATCTTCATCATTGTTGGAACTTAGTAAGATTTATTTTTTTAAATGGAGTAATCTAGATGAATAATACAAATTTTATCAAATTAAAATGTAATATAAACTAATAGGACTGAAAATCTTATCTGTGCCATGAAATGATTCCAAATGAGCTTCAAAATGAAGGTGACATATTTAAAAAACAAAAAAGATTGTCTCACTCTTTCAAGAAACATAATTTGAAGAGGCCAGCTACTTAAATATATAAATTAATCTCATTAGTATACATTCAAGTTTCTGGAAGATGATGAAGTATATGAAAATGATCATTAGTGGAATACATACTTCAAAATTCCTGTGATTTATTATTGAACACATTCATTTATATATTTTTAAAAATTTTATTTTAATAGTTTTTGGGGAAACAGTGGTTTTTGGTTACATGAATAAGTTATTTTGTAGTCATTTCTGAGATTTTGTTTCACCATCACCAGAGCACTGTACGTTGTAACCAATCTTTCATCCATCATCCTCCTCCCACACTTCTGCCCACTCCCTGATTCCCCAAAGTACATTAGATCGTTTATATGCTTTTGCATCCACTTACAAGTGAGAGCACACAATATTTGGTTTTCTATTCCTGAGTTACTTCACATGATAGAGAAAACTGACAGGTGTTTTAGTTAGAATATCTAAGGAGAAAAGGATTGCTACTTCATTCACTTGATCAGAGCAATACAACCAATAGGGTCTTAACAGAAAACAAATAATATAGTAAACATAAGTGATTAAAATAGTTCATACATTTTTTCAGGAATCAGGGAAACCAATAAAGATGGTATAGTATCTCAGTACTAGCAAATAAAAATAAGCTATGCCTGAAAGGAAAAGCTGTGGAAGTATTTGTTTGCTAGCAATGCCACAACAAACTATCACAGACTGAGTGGCAGAAACAACAGAATTATTTTCTCATGATTCTAGAGGCTGCAAATCCACGATCAAGGTGTCAGCAGGGTTGGTTTCATTTGAAGTTTCTCCCCTTGGCTTATAGATACTGTCTTCTCCAAGTATCTTCACATGGTATTTTCCCCTGTGCGTGTCTCTGTCTTTATATCCTCTCTTATAAGGGCACCAGTCACGTTAGATTAGAACCCATCCCAATAACCTCATTTAACTTGAATTACCTCTTTAAAGATGCTATCTTCAAAAATTATTACCTTCTGAGGTACTGGGAGTTGGGACTTCAATATATGAAGGGTGAGAAGATGTGCACAATTTAGTCCATCACAGGGAGTAATCACTGGAAACTACAGACAGCTAAAACTGTAGGAGAAAATTGCCTCACAGGAGCCTTGTGTAGAGGATATAGCCACTGCCAACATGTTTTACTCTTTCTCTCTCTTATTTTCTAGCTGAAGTGAAACAGAAGTGACAGGGGAATCTAATCATCACAGTACATGAATGTCATACTCTGAGCAGATAGAACAAGGTGGAAAGGGGTAGAGAGAGCAG